ATATATATATATATAGTTAGAGCTGATTATAATAAAATTCTTTATAATAATATGCTAATTATAGTAGTTGATATAATTATTATTAAATAAAATAATATTAATAATATTTAAATATAATAATATCATAAAAATCTTTTCTCTAATCATATTATTATAATTAGTTTTGATTATATTTAAAAAATTATATAAAATTTAATAAATATAAAAATTAAATATTTTAATTATTTTTAAATAAACTTTTAATTCTTAATAAATATTATAAATTATATTATAAATAAAATTGTAATACAAGTTTAATCAATATATAATATTATATATTAATTTTAAATTAAACTCAAATCAAATTTGAATTTGTATAATAATTTAGATTTAATTGAACTTTAAATCTTTTTTGAACTCAAGTCAAAATTTAATTTAAATTTAGTATTAATCTTGAATTTAAATAAAAGTTTAATTTATAAAAATATTACTATAATATAAATCACTTAGTTATTATATAAAAATAAATCAGTTTTAAATTTTTTTTTATATTAAAAATAATTTATTAGTTATTCTATAATATTATATATTTTTTAATTAAATATTAATTATTAAGCTAATAATTATCAGTTTGAAAATATTAATTGTATATTGCTAATAATTATTATAAAATATTAAATTCAAATATTTAATATTATAAATAATTTATATTAATAATATAAAAAAATATTAGAATATAAGAAATTATTAAATATATATTTAAATAAATATAATTAAATTTCTATAATTATACCTATTTATAGTTATATTTTTTTATTTTTCTATTTATATATAAATATAATAAAAAATTTTTTTATAATTATATTTTTTTGCTTTTTTGAGAGTAATAACTATAAAAAATTTTGATTATATATTAAAAATTTTTTTCTTTTTCTTTTTCTTTTAAATTTTAATAAAAATTAATAATTATTAATATTTAATTTAATATTAATATAATAACTAATAAAATTATAGAATTATGTATGTAATTTATATAAAAGTTTTTAATTTTATTAATAAATATTTTTATTTTTATTTTTATATTAAAATAAAGATTATAAGTTAATAGTTTAACATATATTTTTTTAATTTTTAGAGTTTTTTTTGATAAAGTTATTCTAATTACAAAGATATTACAAATATTTTTTATAATTAAAATGTAAATTAATTATAAAAAATTTTGCAATTAAGATAACTTTATCAGAAAAAATTTAAAAAATTAAAAAAAAATATATGTTAAACTATTAACTTAAAATTTTTATTTTAATATAAAAATAAAAATATTTATTAATAAAATTAAAAACTTTTATATAAAACAAAATTTTTATTTTTATTTTTACTATATTTTATTAATAAAATTGCATGTATGATTTTATAATTTTATTATAATAAAAAAATTATAAAATAATTTTTTGAAAAAATAATTTTATTAAGTATTTAATTTTAAAAATTATTATATAAATATTATCTAAAAGTATTTGTTTTAATTTAATTTATTAATTGGTTTAATTTGTTAATTTGATTTCAAAGTCAAAATATTTTTTCTTTTTAAAAATAATTTTAATAATTATTTTTATTTTGAATTTTAGTATAACTTTGAATTTAATAAATTTCAGTATAATATAACTTTAATTTTAATATAATTTTAAATTTTGGCATAACTTTAATTTTAATATAATTTTAAATTTTGGCATAACTTTGAATTTTGGTATATTAACAATTAAATTTTATTTTCTGAAATAATATTTAATAATTTTAGCTTAACAAATAATTAAAAATTCCTGAAATTTGACAAGTATTTTTATTATAGCAAAAAAAGTATTAGATTCTAATTCTGATATTAATCCAATATCAACCATTTATAATGTATAAATGTATAATAATAAAATAATTTCCAGTATTATTGGAATAATATATATAATTCTGTTATAATTTTGTTTTAATTTCATAATTCTGCTCAAATACTAACAATATCAACATTAACTTTATCAATTTTACAATTTTGAATCCAATTAAAAATTTCACAAATTTCTAATAACAACAATAAATATATTTTAGCAATCAAATCTGTTTCTCGATTATTTAGTATCTAGAATTGCTATTCCAAATAATAATATTGATTATGCAATTTCATTCCGACTCGAATGATTTTTTAATAATATTCAAAATAAGCAAGCAATTAAAACTACTAATTTTAAATTCATTTTCTTAAAGAAAATTTAATTTATTCTAAAATTTGACTATCACCACCAGAAATAGCAGCACTTCAGTAACGAACCAAAAAAAGGTAATTGTTGTTTTATGTATTGATGTACCGTATTTCAGTACGAATACGTGTAAGAGAATGGATTCACTCGATGCAAGGTAATAATGGGTAGATTTCATTTGCTTTATATAGACGGTACAATAAAGTAATAAACATGAAAATTCAGAAGATGTAAGCTAGTGCAGTGTTAGATTATGTCATGAATTTCTGATAAATGAACTGCATAAAAATTACAGTCAGATCTCGATATAACGAACCTCTAGGAAGGTTTTTTTTGTTATATCAAGACTATGAAATTTCGTAATTTTAAAACAATGTATTTTTTTCTTTTGTTATACCCATGATTTCATTATATCCAGGTTCGTTATATCGAGATTTGACTGTACGTTGAGTAAATAAATACGACAATTGTCGGTTACTAAAAAACAAAAACAAAATTATATAATGAAAAACAAGAATTTTCACTCTTTTCTTGCGGCTGTAAACCGGAGGAAAGATACACTATTTCTTTATTGGAATTTGCGAAATATCATGTTGTGATCTAAATTAGTTTCTTTGATTAACAAGGGTTTTTGTATATTCCTCCTTGCAAGGGTGTTACCTGTTTTGTTGTTGAACATCGCTTCTACGAGATTGTATACGTGATTTGGTACAGATAATTGTCGACAAATATTGTTCTGTATGGACTAACTACAGTACTCGTGACACAATAAACCTTCGCTAAGTTAGAGTTTTTTATACAAGTACTTTATCACAGCTTATAGAGAATAACGTTTTAGAAAGAAAATATCTATTAGTAATGATTATTAGTTTGTGCAGAGAAATCCCAACTTAGACCAAAAACCTTTTTAGGAGCCCTTGGGAGGGTACTATTTGATAGAGAATGGGGTGTTTTGTAAGGGGGAGTACAGATTATTGGTGTTATTATTTATATCAATGAAGAGAATGTTATTCTGGAGTTTATTGTAATATACCCGGGTACCGTACGCAGACAGTTAGGGGGGATATTGTAGTCGTCGGGATATAACAGGTATATGATATTCATCAAGATCCAGGTAAACTTGATTAGATACAATTACGGTAATGTAGAAGTCGATCGTGTCTCAAAATCGAGTAATTTGAGATACAAAACGAAAATAGTTATTTCGGATTACTTTTTAAGGCTACATATATTTCAATCCTGGCAAGTGTCAATGTATGTCATTTGCTGATTGTTCAAAATTTCAATGTCGTTTGTCACCATTGTTTTAATTCAATAGTTACAAGTTTAAAGTTTTTGCACGCAGGCCTGCTTTTCGACACATAGCTTACGTTGTCAAGAATAAAATATGGGGTTCAATTAATAAAGTGAACGAACAGTTGATATTTGCGCGACCCTTTATGCATCACATGTAAAATTTTAAACTTTGTAGATGGATTTGGAGATCCTTACAATAGAAACTTTAAAAAATACATATTTCAACCTTGTTATCGACCAATGGCAATTAATCGCGTGAATTGCGATTTTGCTTCTTACCTTTAAAGAAAGTTTGGTTTTTAGGGAGAGCAAAAGAAAAGTTTTCAACATGGATAGACAGGTATTGTGCATTCTTTTGCTTGAGAGAGCACAATCTTTGTACAAACTATAAAGTTCCCACCAATAAAAAAATCTAGATAACCACACACTGAAATTTCTATAGTGATGTACGACATATGACATACAACATACGATCTTGATATACATGTATCATCTGATCTTTACGTAAAATTTCGGTTTTGGTTTTGACTTTGCCCGATTTCTTTGTTAATTATCTAATCGTAGACCAAAAGATCGTTACCTTCGATTTCCAAGGTTCAACCCACAATCAAAAATATCGTTTTGTTGGTTTGTACACTACATCATTGTGCAATTCAAAAACGAGTAATTTTTATCGATCTGTGAATAATCGAAGACGTAAAATTCTTTACCAAACTCGAATTGATTTTACGTGTAACTCCAAGAATTACTCAGCAAGGTTTGAAAAAGCTTATCGGAAAGCCAATTATAGAATAAAAAGTTTTTCTTTGCAGCGAAATTGCAAATTAAGATTTTGAATCAAGTTAATGTTTAATAGATTTCATTTTGGTAATTTACATGAATTTTAAAGACTAACTCATTCTCATTATGACATTTAGTTGTGCTATAACGGAATAAGTAAAATTTTGCTATTACCGATTTTTATTTTTTATTTTGCATTTTGTTTGTGTTGTGTGATTTTAATAAATTAACAAAAGAAAAAAAAAAGAAAAAAATTTACAAAAAAAAGAAAAAAGAAAAAAAAATTTGAAAACACGCGACAAACAAATTATTAAGAAAATCAAAAAAAATTATCTCGTGTATTATTATTATTATTATCATTATTAGCCTTATATATCTAACTTATAATTATTAAACTAATGAAAAAATATTCTGAAGAATTATATATGACTTGAGGAAAAAAAACACCTAAAACTTGAAAGAAAAATGGTATATAGATATTTAAATAAAACGAAAATAAATTAGAATTATTATGAAAAAGTCCATTCATTGTCCAATTTTTTTTTTGATGGGGGTGAAAGATATATTATTCAAGAAACGCGTAACACTCCAGTATATAATACGTATTTTGCGCAAGAGAACAACCCCAAAAGAAGCGCGCGCCAGGCGCAAAAAAAAGATTAATTGTTTTTCGTCCAGTATTATGACACTTTCACCGAGTTACATTGTTGAATATAATAATAATTCATCATGATTTTGTGATGGAAGAATCACAGGATCCAACACAGGTGTTAATTGTTGGGATATATGAGCAGGTGTTGATACTGATGACGTTGATGATCCAACAGGTGAAGCAGATCTTGCATTAGTAAATTGAATTCGATCCAGCGATGAAGAACATGGAGATCCAGCCGATTGTATTATCGGTGATTGATGATCACCTGTATTATTGTTATTAGAAGTGAATTGAATTTGATCCAGTGATGTAGATGGAGATCCAACTGATTGTATTATTGGTGATTGATGACCAGTTGATGGCGCAGTTGTATTTGAAGGCGTGCTAATACTCACTGGACTAATTGCGCCAGTCCCAGGAGCTGCTGATGACCAAACTTGCTGTTGATTCCAAACTAATAATGAATCAGGATCCCAAAAAGTATTATTAGGATCAACAGACCCGGTTAAATCCATTTGTTTTGTTGAATGTGGATTATTCATTGCCAACATTGACGTAAATGATTCGGTGATTGGACCATTAAATTGTGTATTAGCATGGATCGGAATATTTACCAGCGATGAATTTAATATTGCAGTTGCCTCATCCATTGAATGCTGATGATGTTGAGGTTGTTGGTTATTATTATTATGTGAATTCATGAAAAATGGTTGTCCCATCGCTGTTGCTGTATTTGCCGAATTATCAGGATCCATGAATGTTTGAGATTCGCATGACAGCTCATCTAAAAGGTACAAAGGTCTATCCTGGAATTGTGGTGTTGTAGCAGCAGAATGTGATGATGGAATATGCGTAAAATTATCCGGTAAACTTCCGGTCACCATATGACGATGATGATGATGATGATGCTGATTTTCTTGTCCTACACCTATTGTTGATGAAACATTTTGTGTTGTTGCTCTTCTTTTGGGTAATGGTCTTCTAACTTTATCATTATTTGTTGGTGGTGGTGTTGTCGATGTTGGATATGAGGCATGTTGAATATGATTAGCAGCACAATTAGCAATATTCATTTGATTTGCTGTATTAAACATCATCAATACAGGTGGATGTTGTTGTGCAGCCGTGAATGCTGATTCCAATGACAACACTTTATCACGTAATTCCCAGGCAGCACTATGTTCAACGCAAACTTTAAGCACTCGTAAAGTTCTCAATAAATGATCTGTTGCTGGTCTCGAGAATCTCATATCGGATGATCCCATATTCACGAGATGAATCATTGAAGCGGCAACTAAACAATAGACACCATAATTTCCACCTCTTAACGGATATTGAAATACTAATGGACCCCAAGTTTCAAACATTGATTGCGCAGTCTGTGAAATACTGTTGGCTGCAACTGTACAAATGTTCACATGTTGAGGATGTGGTGCTGAAACCTTTGAATTATCGAGACTCGTGATATACGGTCTATGCAAAAGAATCAAGATTGTATGATAGAGAATATTCAAGAAACCGGCGAAATGTGAAACAGGAGGTCGTGGTAAAGAACTACTAGTAATTTCCAATGCTGGCGGACATTGAAGTCTTGGTGGTAATGCTAATATCCATGCATCTAATGCAGTGTCAAGAGTTTGCAATTTTGGATTTGATGACCATGCAGCCAATGGTGAACCAGATCCAGCAGAAGCAATAACAGACATAACACTAGAAAGAATTTTGGTAAGTCGTACAAGATGTACAAAATCTGTTTGGATTTGCAGTTCTTCTTCATCTTCATAATCTGCTTTTGATGGTAGTTCAATATCAGCGTTACTCAAAGATATTACAACATCACGTCCTGCATAACAATGTTTATAGTTTGAGTTTGGTGTTACGTGAGCGAGTAAATAAGAACAATATTAATGTGTGTGAAGATATTAATTACCTTGTGTTCCACTCATCAGCTGATCACATAAGAAGCATATTTGCCAAACTCGTTTTCTTACAATTAAATCTTCGCGAGAAATAAGTATATTCCATTTGTCGAAATTTTTATTTAGACCCAAGTCCTGAGCCATTCGGACTATCACACCAAAGTATAACCAACTTCTAAAAAAGAAACCAGGTCGACGAATTCCTTCCTGGAATCTCAACATTAATATTTGAGCCTGTACCGTTGATAATCTTGGAGTGTCCAAAAAATCGTCTAATAAATCTTTGGCACGGTTATAATAAGGGAAGCCAGCAGTTTCCGGTTTCATTGGATCGCTTCTTACCGCTAGGTCTTCCGAAAATTTAGCACCCATTGCGAATACCGAGTATAATAGTAGAGGTGAGATTGGATTGGATTTGTCATTTAATCGACGTAAGAAATCCACTTTGTGCAGAATTGGGACGTACGGATGCACGTGTTTGAAGTAAAGTTGTACCAGATTATTTGCCAATTCTGAACCAGGCGTACCGATGTTTGTGAATGCGAATGGGAGTGGTGGTTCAGTGAGAGTCATCATTTCTTGTACCTCACCGTTACCATTATTTTTTTCGCCTTCTCTGAGTAACCGTCCTTCCTCGGAGTATATATATCTTGCACGACCGTTAAATTCTATTTTCATATGACCCAAGACATCTGTCAGCGAATCAACATAATCGACGGTGTCTACTACTATTGAAATTTATATATATTTTTGAACGTCAGAGGATAGGCCAAACTTTCATTTTTTTTTACATCGTAGGAGAAATGGGGAAAAAAAGGTGAAGGAGGGCCAAAAAGAAATTGTATAATAGAAGACTATAATAAAAAGGGACGAAAAATGTATGCATACAACAAATAACATGCATGTATATGTGAAATATGCGTGCGTGTTTTATTTGTCTATATGCACATTATCATAAGATATATTTCATATATACAGGAAGAGGAAGAGAAAGTTTTGGCCGACCCTAACCAACCAATTTGATAGAAGAGATTATTCTCACCTTTCTTTGCCTGCTTATCATCCTCGTCAAGTTTATTCAGCAGACTTTCCACTCGTTGCAGTCGTTCGTCCATTTGCTCGGCTTCTGTTTTTGGGGCGGCTCGTTTTATCGCCATATTTGAAAATATACAATCAATCTTTAATTTTCGACAACTCGAGCAAGGTGTTTGAGTGCCGCCCGAGCCTCCGTCACATTTCACTTTTCTTCGACGACAAGACTCGCAAGCACGTGTAACCTTTAGTCTCTTGTATCGGTGTAAATCGTCAACGAAAACGTATTCCATCATTGCGTGGAAAAATTAGAAAAAATTTAAAAAAGCGTGTGAAAAAAAAGTAATAATGTATTATTCGAACGTAATTTTTTTTGTAAAGTGAAAAATATCAATAAAGCAATAAAGCTTAAAAAGCTGCTGTGATCTTGTGTGTTGCAGATAAAAATGAAACAGATACAGAACTATATAATAATAACAGTGGATAATAATGAAGAAACCTAGTAGCAAAGTTGTCTCAATCAATAATATGAGAGTAATTTTCGTGATAACAATAATAATAATAATAATAATAATAATCAAAGAGACGAAATATTGTGTCTCGTGTTAGGAAAGAAGTAATTTTTTTAAAAAATCAGTATATAGAAAAAAGAGCAAAAGAAGCTTATCAGGCAACTAATTGTAATCAAAGTCAAAAGCTAACAAAGAAAAAATTTGTTGTTTTCTGTTCTTTGTATTAAGAATCAAAAAAGGAAAAGAAGAATACGAAGAAAATATTAATAATACTATTGTGGTGCGTTTTTATTTTTGTTTGATATATTGACGAAAATTGAACGCGCGGGGATCCCGACGACAATTGCTAACAACATAAAACTGCTAGAGATAAGAGTCAGCGCGAGTTGAAGTGTCAAATTTAAAGAAAATGATTGATTTTTTTTTTAATAAACTGGAAAACAGTTAATCTGGAGTGCGTAGACTTTTTTTTCTGCAAACGTGCGTCGGTGTATTTATAATGAGGAATCGCGGTTCCATTCATTAAACAATAATTATTAAAAATTTATGATTTTCATATAACTGTCTGATTGACGTGATGGAGAATATTATGTGCACAAAATTCCAACTGAGTGGATGTTGGAGAATTAGGAGTATTAATGTCAATAATAGCTAGAGAACGGTATTTAGTTTGAGGGGATTTGTCTTGAAAACTGGGGTCCTCGATTTTTTTGATCTTATTTTAAATCAAGTAAAATAATAATTTTTTATTAGCATTCAAAGAGGAATCATGATTTTGTGTGTGTGTGTGTGTGTGTGTGTGTAAAATGACGGTACAAATATATACACTGTAATATAAATATATATATATATTTATTTATTTAGAGCGTTTACTCTATTAGCTTGAAAGAATTATTAAGGGGCAAAGAAAACCTTTACTAAATCACTTTTGTACGATATTAATTTTTTTTTATTAAGAATATTGATATTATATCACAATATAACAAAGTTAATAATACAATAATGTAATCATCAAAAAATTTGGTAAGTGCATACCCAATTTTTTTATACATATCATGTATTACGATTAGGACATTTTGTAAGAACACTAAATAAAGACCTAGGTAACAAAAATAAATCGTAAATGATTTTTCTACCTATTCTATTACCGTTACGTTTTATGTCAACGATCAAAAAAATGAACTGTTTATTTTTGTATTTAATTTTTTAGCCAGTAAACACAACAACAATCGTATGGATCAACCTGGATGTCAAATCATTCTTGCCACTCACACAGGATTAGGAAACAATAATTCAGAGAAATAATCAATCAAGTGATGCAGCACCAGGTTTAACTTTAATTTTAACGGAAATCGATTCAGATGCCGAGTTATTCGCCAAAAAAGACATATCTATGATTGGCTAGTCTGGTAAAACTTTAATAACCGGTAAGAAGCGATGACAGTCCGTGTACTTGTTTATAGTTCAATAGCAAACCTCTTTCCTCACTTTCTACTTTGCATAATATTAATGACAATAATGATGATGCCCACGTCAACGAAAAAAATTTAGGTTGTTCTTTGTCTTTTGTCCCGTATTTCATAATTCGGTATCACGCTAAACTCACACAGACACAAAAAATTGAGGCTGACCTTGAACCCAAAGAAAAAAATCATAATTTGTATGTGCATTTTAAACAATGCGCAAGCATGCATATCATAGATATGTAAGCATTATCAACATAAATCTCTATCATCAGCGTGTCCCTGTATGTCGATATTTTCGGCGTTATTAAATAAATACTATTTTTTATCATTGTGCATAAATGCATGGCGTAACATGCATGTACGTTATATGATATATGCACGTTACTGTAGATGTTTGAGCTTCCCAGATATTTTTTTATTAGAAATTTTGTGTTTTACGCGTGGTAAAACAGCATGAAAATATTTTTTTTAAATAGATTATTGTTTTTACGCATGCGTATTCCTTCTCTCTTTTTTCTCCACTCCTTCTCTTTCTCTCGATGCATGTGCGAATATGGGATTATTTCTCTCGATTTTTAACTTTGGTTATCGATCTTTTGGTTTGGTGTTCATTTCCATATATTTCACCCATTACCACAACTCACCTATAAGAGGAAACTTATTTTATCTATAAGAGGGAAAATGTGTGCCGTTATCGTCCGATTGTTAAGTATTTGAAGTGTGATTTTTTTGTGAACATATTGTTTGTGCACGCACATTTGGTACACATTTATTAGTGTGAAAATCATTTCCATTCCCGGATTTATTGGAGAGAAAATCACCTATAAGCTCCGGGGTTTTTTATTTAAGCGTTTTGAACTAGGTGAAATAGGATTAGGTAGCTCAAAGAAGTCACTTATAAATCAAAAGAATGATTCTCACATTGATTGACGCAGCGAAAAATAGTACGCGCCAATTTGTGTTTAAATAAAATTTGGTGGATTTTCCCACATGTAATTGTAATTTGACGTCTAAAAATAGTCGAGTTTCGAAATTCCAAGCGCAGAGAGAAAGTACCTTAATTTTGTTTACTTATCATGTCATGTAAGAACAAGCATTTCCATTATGTAATAAATTACAATCCAATTTATTATTCATCTTTTAAGTAATCGTGCTATTGTGTTATGCAAAATTCATTCTTTCACCACTGATTCAATAATTATTTTCGCGTCGTACACGCACGTTCTATCAAAAGTGCGTGGGTCAAGTCATTCGAGATCAGTGTTACGACACATTTCAATGTGTGTGCACAGGTTTAATAACAAGAAAAAAAGTAATATTCTCGCGATATTTATTGAAGCTGATATAGGCATTTTTCATTGAACGATCTTGGACAAACTCAATTTATAATGCAATTTATGACGCACTTTAGTTAATCTTAGATTCCTTTATCAAATGGGACCCGTTTTCTTTTATTTTTTCTGGGTCTTTCTTTTTTTTAATTCTTTCTTTTTTTTTAATTCTTTCTTTCATGATTTATCTTCAATGAATCTGTTACTTGTACGAAATAAAAAAAGTATTCCAATAAGATATAACAAAAGTTTTCAGCTTCTTTTCAATACAATTTGAATGTGACCATGTATCGTAATAATTCATAGTAAAAAGAAACATAGAAAATTCGACTATTTTGCTGTCGCGTGCTAGTATCTCAAACATGCACAGATCGATAATCAATGGGTCGGTGGTGGTGTTATACTATCGAGTATGGTATGTTGGTTAGTAAGTATTGTATGGTTACAAAAAGCGTTATTTGGTAAGGGTTACGCTATTAGCTCAGTAGTATAAAATATGTGTAATTTTCCGACCATACCATACTTCTTTGCTCGATCATACAAAACTTATTAATGTAGGACTCTCAATGGGTTGATTGGAGTAAAATGCATTAATGAGTGTTCATTGGAAAAGGTAAAGAATGTAAAATGCGGTAATGATTTCTCTTGGCTTCTGTATGAAACTAACCGGGGGAAGAACGGCGCGTCGTGTGGGGGTAATACGATATTGATAATGCACAGCTACAAAAATAATATATTCGGAGTACAAAAAGGTTAAATTTTACCTCTAACATTAACCAGTTTATTGGTTCACAAAATGTCGATGATTACCATATTCCACTTTTATACTAAGTCTTTTTTAGCTTTTGATCGAATGCTGTATTAGCTGATTGGTCAGATGAGAATAATAATTGTTTTATACTCTAGGTATCCTATCCTTAACCTAGTTTTGCTTAGTAATTCGCTTATCATTATATGACGTAAGCGATCACTAATCTTTTATAAATCTTTTATTACTCTAATTTCAAGTAAAACTTGATTTTGAACCTGTTTCAAAATCATTACTTTAGTCTTGGAATATTCAAATAAGAACCAATACCATTAACATCATCAGTATCTGTTCATTGGTTTTGTAATTGGCTTCCTGTTAATAGTTTTGAATAACATTACTTTTTTGATGAAAAGGCTTTAAAAACTCACAAAAAGAGCGCCCATCTTTTAAACCCCCCCCCCCAATATTTATTTTATATGTCCAATATTTATTTTATATGTCAACATCAATGAACCAATTATAAATTCTCCGTACATAACTTTTCTATACGGTACTATACGGTATCCCCCTTTTTCACGTTTGATGTTAAGATAATATTGATGTTGTTTGGCTAATGAACTGTTTACACGATAAATTTGGTATATTTTCTCTCCGCCTACACGTAAACAGGGTGAATAGATCTTGGCGTTCTAAAATTACTCTTCGTAAATAAATTTTAAATGGTTCAATTCTTTTAGGTAGGTAGTTAGGAAAGCCCCATCTTTGAACACAATTAATCATTATACACTTAAACTAATGAATATTTTTTTGTTCAAGTTTAAATAATTTAATGCATCTAGATGTATTTAATAACCGATTATAATAAATTTCGGATAAAACTTAGCAATTCTAAGGATAATTTAAGATTTTCCTTGCATCTAATTTAGGTGTAAAGTTCAACGAAAAATTTCATTCGACAATGTAAACGATTGAATGCTATTGTCTTAGTCTCGTAAATCTTCTTTATGAAAACTTTAAACTTAAACGAGTACGTGAAGATGAAACATACGGAGTAAAACCAATTTCTTAGTGACATCTGATATTAATTTTTCGTCTATGCGCAATGGTGCGGAATAGAACGAGAAACAAAAAAGGAAATTATAATAAAATGAGGGTGTCTTTGATTGAATGGACACATGACCAACTAACTGATTGGGACTTTTATCATCAGGCAATTTGAAGAGAAGAGGTCTT